TTCCTTAGCTTGTTCAGCCATTACAGCCTTGAGTCTTTCAGCAGTCACTTTTTGGAACTCCTTAAAAACAGTGATAGTATCGATTCGACAGAGATATAAACCCCACCTGGTAGATTGTAGGATACTCGCTCGCCATTAGATCGCGAATTTCAACAGAGCGCATGGCACAAAGATCTCGTAATTCTACAATGCAGTTCTTCTATACGGATGGTAAAGGCACTATATTCGCAAATGAAATAAAAAACAGTAGCAAGAGGAAAAAAAAGAACCAACGAGTTTCATTCATTATTTGGTGGATATTGTATGTGGCGCACAACCAGTCCCTTTCTACCTTCTCGACTTTCCTACGACTCATGTCAGGAAACTTTCGCGAAAATGATTTGATATCCAACAGATCACCAACCTGTTCCTATAATCTATGGTTAATGAAAAAATCTACCAACTCTTCGCGAAAGCTCATTTTTAGAATAATTCTCAAAACCTTTATCCAACTCTGCAGTTTTAAGCTTTTAAACCCAATTCGCACCCTACAGACTCGCAACGCTATATTCATAGTTAGGCTTTGAGGATAGAGCAGGAGAATGAAAAGATTACAGATAATGTAAAATTACAAACACTGCGCAGTTCAAACATAACTGATAAAAGCACTTGAATTCAAAAGTTGGCTAGCTTCATTGCAAGCCAATTCCTGCTAAATCAGCAAGAAACGATAATACGTTAACATGGACGAGAGTACATGCTATAATGGGAAGCGCAAAAAACTCTCAAATGCATATTTTGCCGTTATTAACATAAGACAGCAAACAAAAACAAGTTTGAAGTTGTCTCTTTAACTTTGCTGCATCACGTGCACATCGAGAGAAAATCGAAAAACAGCAATGCAATATCAAAAAGGAATGAATAAATTATACTACCTGCAGAAAATATTTGTCTCCCGACTTGAGCGGCCATTCATATTCGATAAGATCTTTTACTTCAACCTCAAACAAAAAGGTTGATTTACATTTAACACAAAGTTTGTTGAAGGGACATTCATAACAATTCTAGACAGTTAATAACCTGTCGATGCGTAACATCAGCAGTGATAACCCTAGCTAAAGATCTTGGCGTTGATGAGACACTTGCAACAACTGATGATTGTGTACCTAAAGCAGACGTAAGGCATTAAGCACCTATTTTCATCATATTATGGGTAGTTCACTGACTTTCTGGATTTTCAGTTATAACAGATTCTTCGGGCACTGGCGCTAAAGGAATTGACGGCGGACGTTGCTCCGGGACTGATTCAACAGATTCCATTGACAGATTACTGTCTTCCATCATAACAACTGAGTCCTCAGAAGGA